TCTTTCCCTGGAGAGAACACAGAAAGGTCAAACTCTCCAACCCAGTGTGAACCTTTGGGACTTGCCATCCACCTCTCTCTCAACTTGATTTTTATTTTCTTTTTCCCTCAGTTTTGCTTTGTCATGTTGTAGTACTAACCTTTTATTTCCTGAAAACTGATAATGCAAGTGCTTAAGCAGGTATTTCTCTTCTCTCTGGACGTTATCTCTGGCCTTGCTCTTGGAAGGCCTTCTTGCTGACCTCTTGGCTTATCATCTGGTTGTATGATAGTTTCACTTAATTGTACTAGAGATAGTTTAAAAACCATGCAGTTCAGTAGGCAATAGGCTGTTTTCTGGTTTTAGATAAGTGAACTAAGGACATAAATGCCCTGACTTAGTGGTGAGCTTTTGCAAAATAAGAACAACAAAAAACAGGAAAAACTGTGCATTTCCCCCAATGGAAGAGCATGGCATTAATGGACATATACCTGATCTGTCTGTTCTGTAGATTACTTGAAATTGCAGTTATTGAACCATACTCTAAAAAAAAACTTAATGCTCTAAATTTTTTATTCAGGTATTCAAGTGATTAAACAAGTCTTCAAGAAGAAAATTCCTAATAAACCTGGGAAATAAGGAAAGACTGAGCAAAAATAAACATTTTCAATGTGAGCTTGTATGTGGTGCTTAGTCTTCCAAAAGTTACTGGGAGGAAAGAGTCAAGTCTTTTCCAGAGCACATTGTCTTTCTGTTGATTTTTCTTCAATTCCTCTTGTTGTTTACCACAAAGTAGTATCTTTAAACATTACGTTTATTTATCGTTATTTTAGCTTTCAAAGATTGCAGATTTTCTAAGCATGAAACAGTTGCCTGGAATCATTGTATGAAATTGTTTTGAAGCACTTTTTGTGCAAGTTGACATGATTTCAGCCTTACAAAGATAATGGCCAGAAATAAATTTAATTAGCCTGCAAAATTGCATTTTCCTAGTAAAGAGGTAGGGTTTGTCACTGCTGGTTTTAATGAGACATCTGGCTAATATCAGTTAGTAGATGCTGCTAGGAATATATTCCATTAATTGTGTTCTAAGTTGATCACTGTGTGAGCTTTTGAGATAAAATATTACGGTGATTACCCTCAGTGTAGAAATCAATTGACAAACTTTCCCTTTTGTTTGCAAGCGTTTCCCTTGTGATTCCATCAAGGTTGATCTTTCTGAGCTGAATAACAATATCCCTTGGGAGGAAAATGGCAGTATCTCTTCATTGCTCCCAGGAGATCTTGTCAAAGAGCAGGGGATGTGTATAAAAAGTGGGAGTGAGGGAGGAAGGGGGTGAAAAAGGATAATTAACTGGAGAACGTGACTGATGTATTAAAACCTGTGGGAGAAAAAAGGAGGTTGAGATGACTGGAGAAAATGATTTTGACTAAAGAAAAATCTTTGCTTGTTGAAGTCTTCTTAAATGTTAAACAGTTTTGTTTCTTAATGCTCAGTCTTCCAGCTGGAAACCAACAGTAAGTGTTAGCAT